AGCCCAACCCGCCGGCACTAGCACTCTACCACGCTAGGACCTCTGTATGAGTTCCATGAGGATCCTCATCTAAGTCTAATCCACGGACCAGTATCAAAATGCATACGCGCTGACGAATACTCCCATGTTCCTGACCTCCCTAAGAAGACCGTCAACCAGTAGACATGCACCACACAAGGGGCAATAACAACCCTCCCTTCACGTGCCCCGCTAGCGTTAAACCATTCCACGTACTTGTCAGCCCTGGATTAAGGGGGGCTTTGGAAGCTATAGCCCCAGGACCCGCCATTCAAACGGGCCCCCGACAGCTTAATATTTAAAAGTCAGAATAATATTACACATTATTAGGGTTGGGATTTTGACCGGTCAAAATCTTTTGTGGTAAATTGACTGGTCAATTGACTAAGCACCGGTCAAATTCTTTAGTTTTTTTTTAAGAAATGAAGGCATTAAATAGAAACGTGTATTTATTGAAAAACTGCTATTAAAGGATAAACAAACCATTCTGAGGTACAAAAAATAAAAATATTCTAATAATACTTATGACGGCTGGCAGTGCTGGTATGGGTAGATAACAGCAAATTATCCTCGTCACTGAACTCAGCCTTCTTCAAAATCATCGATTTCATCCTCACTACTAAAATTTAGCGCTGGTTCCTCCGAATTTCCACATTTTTTATTTTCACTTCCACTCAACAGCTTCAAGTTGTACTTTATATAAACAGATATAAAGAAGCTAGGTTATGAGTAAAATTCAATTTGGGATTCCCAAGTTTACTTCATTACTAACTTTAAAAAGCATTATTAAGATGGCACCATGGTCTACTACAGAACACTTTATTAATAGTTTTGATGTTTTCCGTTAGGTAGCGCCGTCGCCGCGCGCGGTTGATTTAAAAGTTTTTGACCGATTTTGACATGGTCAAAATCTCTCCGGTCAAAATAGGTCAAAATCTCGGTCAATTGACCGCGGTCAATTGACCAGGCACAACCCTACACATTATACAGGCATTTTATTTAGGTCTAGATAAAATATAACTAAAATATATGATATCGAAAACCATCCTAAAATATAATTTGTGTTTAGTATGCGTCCGACAGTATTTTATTACCTCCTTGAAATTCGCCGATAGGCGCGGCTAAAATAATACTAAATGTGAAAATTATTTTATTATCTCAATACAAAAGTATTAAATAGTTTTTTAACGGTAATATTTAAAAAGTTTATACAGGGTTCCCTCTAAACCTGAAAATCCAGGAAGTCATGATAAAGTCATGGATATAAATGTTAAGCATGGAAGTCATGGATTTTGGTTAAAAATGACCAAAAATCATGATTTTTACTAAAGAGTCTTGATTTTTGCTACAAATAATATTTTTACTACTCATTTATGGAAATAAAGGAGTTGAAACTTAAAAATCTTAAATTGGACTCAATTCAAACATAAATCAAACTTTTGAAAAAAAAAATATAATTATAAATAAGATTTAGAAGAGACTATTTTATGCTGTGTTTTTTTTTGTTTTTATTTGAATTTTTATTTTGTTTATTTTAATAAAAAAAAATCGCAAGCTCGCTCGTGCCTAAATTAAATTCGTGTCTAAAATGGCGTTTATCAAACTTGATACATATTATGTATTACATAATATACTATTTTGAGATTTTCATAAAACATAATAATAATAATAAAAAATCTTGTATATCAACATACATAAGAAGGTGAAAGTTTAGCTTACACTGTTTTTACAAATTGAGACTTAAACGTTGAACATTTAACAGGTGTTTTTTTAGTTTATGCTTATAGCTAAGTTACATTGTTGTAATAATAAGTATTAAAGATATATAGCCATATATTCAAAACAATTTTTAAATTAATGTTACAACATCTGTACAAGCATGATTTGCAAGAAGCGTTTCCCAATGTTAGTATAGCTTTAAGAATTTATTGCACATTACCAAAATCTGCAAGCTGTGAGCGAAGCTTTAGCAAACTAAAAATAATTAAAACTTATCTACGTTCAACAATGAGTCAGGAGCGTCTATCTGGCCTCGCGATCTTAACCATTGAAAACAAAACTGCCTATGCGACAGACTTTGAGAAGCTAATAGATTCTTTCGCAGAAAAGAAAGCACGCCGTGTAAAGGTGTAGTCTTTCCTGGTTATATATTTTTTCTGTGTTTCTGTTTTATGTCACAAATGAAAGTTATAACAGATAATAAAAAGTTTAAATTTATCAAAGGATTATTATTTTCATAAATCGTCACAAAAAATGCTACTTATTTGTCAGTTTTAACAGTTCCCATGGGGAAAAATCGTCTAAAGACGATCGTCTTTAGACGCGAATTCGTCCAATCGTCTTTCAAACGATCGACTTTGAAACGATTCAATCGGTTGCGTAGGTTAGGCGGTCGGCTGTACAGACGAAATATATTTTTGAAATTCTTCTCTATTATAATAAAGAATTTCAAATATACTTTGGAATATTTGGAATTGTCTATTATTCGAAGTAGGTAGGTATCGCCTTTAGAATTATTTTTTTAATTAATTTAATTAATAATTATGACAAAATAAAAATATTTTCTCATCAGTTAAGTTATAACTTAAAATTTTAATTAAAACGATCGTCTTTTTTCGACTATTATTTTAGACGATCGCCTTTTGTATTGTTTATCACTTTAAACGATCGTCTTTAGGGTCGGCTATTATTTTAGACGATTAAAGACGATCGTTTAAATAATTAAACGATTTCGTTTGAAAGTAGACGATCGTCTTTTTTACAAAAGATCGTTTAAAAAATTAAGCGATATCGTTTAAAAATAGACGATCTTCTTCAGACGATCGTCTTTTTTTTAAACGATTTTTTCCCATGGGTTTTTCTCAAACACTGAAGGGGGGGCGCCACTATCAAGTTTTTGCCAAAGTTCGAAAAAATCGTAGATCCGGGGCTGCTGAGTCCTAAAGATTAAAAGACAAGATAAGTATACTGGCACATTTGTAACGTAAATTGAATAAATAAGTAAAACATTGACTATAAAATATGTTATCACATTTAAGTATATCACCCCCTTAGTGCAACCTAGATAACTTGAAATTCATAGTTTTGAGAAAAGCCACTTTATAGATTTAAAACGCAAAAAATTGCAGCTGTTAAGTAATTAAAAATATTTAAAAATCTATACAGATATGTTGCATATCAAATTATTATTTCTAGTTGTTGTATTAAAAAGAGGGGGCGATATTAAGTCTTACATAATGTTCACTTAAGTAATCCTTATGGCTAATGTTATAAGCATATTGCAGACAAGAGTTTTGAATTTTACATTGAGTTGATTTAGTTGCTACAGGAAAATAAACACTACTACAGTAATTAAAAGTACTTACAATAAGACGAGTACATAACTTACATTTAACATCACTTGACAGAAATAATTTAAAATTTTTTAAAAGATTTTTTACATGAGATACAAAACTTAAATCTTAAAAAACTTAAAAAACGTTGTAACACAGATTCATTTACATATATTACATGTTTTGCAAATGCTCACAGTCTTGTTTTGTTTAAGAAGAAGACCATTTCTGGAGGACCACCAACTAATATACCGTAATAATCAAGTTTTAAGCCATCATGATCCATGATCCTTTTTGGTTGCTGGAGTTTAAAAACGAAACGAAAAAAGAATCTATGGAAAATAACAAGTGCAGAATTCTTAAGTGTTATTTGCTACAGATTATTTTAAAAATTCGTTTCCAAACTTTAAAAACAAAATAGGATCATGATAGCTTAAAAATTTATTTTTATGAAAATCTCTTGAGCGAGCTCGTAAGATACAAAATAAAAAATTGCGAATAAAAACAAATTAACTTAATAAATTATTTTCTTGAAATAACGTTTTCTGTTAATGAATAAATGAAGCAGCGTACTGTGCGACTTACTCGCAAGTATTATCCGCGCGACATACCTGCGGCTTTCTAACCTGATTTACCTGCGCGTCTCACCCGCGTTACCTACCTGCTCGTTTTACTCGAGAGTTTTACCCGCGTAACTCACTCGCGCCACTAGTGGGCGGAAATGCATGAAGTTAGCTTTAGGTTAAAATTGGAAAATGATTTTTATATGTCCGTATTTCGGTAATTGTTTCGCACCTGCAATTTTCGTTATAAACTGTTTCGATAACAACAAGATTTAGTTACTTGTGTTGGTACTATTTCTCAAAGTTTAGTAATCATTTTCGGGGGTGTATGTTTCGATTCAATTTAGTTTAGATCCTTACATGAAGAACGATACCCGGTATCGGATACCGTAACAGAAATGCGTCACAAGTCCCTGGTTATTAGTGAGTAGTAAAGGCCCCAGCACGCGACGTAACATTTCAATCACAAACACAACACCCCCACCTGTTCCCCAACCCTTTCTTTAAATGACATACAATTTAAGGCATGGGAGTTCCCTGTAAGGGAATTATTTCCCGGCCCCTAAAATCATCCCAGCACGCGCCTGACTATGGGTCCTATACATACTGATACAACATATAGAAACCATACATTCCAATACAAATATCTATCTTTTTGAACAGGGTCTCAATGGGGTATTTTAAGCAGGGAATGTAAAAATCACATTTAAGAATTAAAATATTCCCCAAAACCAAAAACAAAGTACATGGAGTAGGTACTTTTTGCCAATTAAGTTGGCAGAGTTACTCTTTGCTTTTGTCAGAAGCCTTCTGAAGATGCCAACTTCATATTTTAATATTGTTTTGTTACATATCAGGAAATTTGTCCTTCTTCAAGTAACATTTAAAAATTCCAAGTTTACTAAAAAATGTCAAAATCACATTTGGAAATCATACCAAATGTAAAATTTACTAAAAGATGTTAGAATACTAACTTTACTAAAAAAAATAGATTTTAGAATTAAAACTCACATCATAAAAATTATTTGTATAGGTACATATTTATTTTAATATTTTAAGGTTTATAAAAATACTGTTGTTTTTTCAGCAACAAACAAAATTGGAATACGAAACCAAATTAGAACAAGAAAAGCAGCGCAACGACACTTTAAGCAAACAATGCCAACAATTAAATAGGGTACCAAGCGGCGATACCACTGCAACTATAGAAAAACTAAATGAGGTAAATTTAATTTATATTCTAATTATTATTGCGTAAACTTTAATAAAAATATATATTTCCTCTCCCATAGGAAGTTAACAGATTAAGTGAGTTACTAAGGCTAGAACAAACAAGCAAAAATGGCAACCTCAATGGTAGTCCAAAAGTAAGTTTAATTAAAAAAGTTGGTAAAATTTATAATTTTTTTATTTTAGGAACAAAACTATAAATCAACAAATGGTATTGCAGTAATTGAGGTAAGATTTTTTTTGTGTTCATTGGGTTTCAGAATTTTTTTAACTTTGGGCTAATTTTGTAAACTTTTAACAAGGTTCTTGGACTTCATACTTATGTTAAAATTAATAAAATAACATTTATTTTTTAAAATAACAAAAATATCAACTAACATTTATTCAGAACTCATTGTCATCATCCACGGCAAGTCTGGCATCCAGTGAAGCTTTCCAAATAAAAAAATCAAAGAACAAAAAGAAAAAAAAGAAGGTATACACCATAATTTAATGATCTCTGCATGCATGTTTTTTACATCATTTTTTGCATGTTTTTGTCTTAATTTTTGTTGTTTTTGGTCAAATTTGTTTACAAAAAATATATTTTTTTTTCTTTTTTAGGGCACTGGACACTAAATACACTGTAATCAAATTCAAATTGAATAATATTATTTATACTGCATACTTAATTTTATTAAAACTATTATCATTCCCTTTATATCAATGTGTGCAATAAGTTCATAGAATTAATTTTGCCTTTATTAATTTTTTAAATTGTAAAAATTATTTATAACAAACAAATTGTAGCTGTATTATGAAATTATGAATAATGTAACTTAAATTTACCGTTTGATATAGAAAATATACATATACATCAATGATTATTTATATTTATAATTTTTTTACGTTATATTCCTTATTGTATTATTATATCCTGGTAAGTTGGACTCATCATATGTACATATTTATTACTTGTAAAGAGAATCTCCACAGATTTTCTAATAGATTAATAAAAAAGCTTTTCTAAATAATTGGTTTCAAGGCCTCATTTCGTTTTTATATTGATTAATAAATCTAATATATTTTTAACAATTATTTTTCTTACTGTTTACTAAAATTATTTGTAGTTTTAGACATAAATATTAGTGACCAAATGGTCACACTGTATATTTTTTACAAAAAATTAAAAAATGTGGTGCATGTATGTATTAAATATTTAATATACCATGGTAAAAAGAAGCATAATCCTAATAAAATTTTGTATAGATTATGAAATAAATTTGTAGTCTTCTTAATTTATTGTTTCAACCCCAATTATAGTAAGGTAAAGGATTTAAAGAAAAAACAATGTTCAACACAAAATATAATCTTAAAAAATACATTATATTATATCATACAAGTTCAGAAAATTAATAACTAAGTAGAAAAATCTAGAAATTTGCCACTTTTCTATAGCTTTCTATAGAGATCATTTTCTGTAAAAAGTAAAGTTGCAAGTTTACAGAAAAACGTAAATGTTTAGAGCAAAATAAAAACGTGATAAATATAAAAATATACAAATCAAAGGTAGAGTAAACAAATAAAATGCATTGGCACCTTTAGAGATGAGTTTTTTTAATTAATAGGTGTGGATCGCATGTTTAAATAATAAGGGAATGTTTGGAAGTTTTTTTTAAACTGGGAAGACTTGTTTTATATAAATAAGGTAATAATTAAAATAAATAATTTTTAACGGCAATAAATTAATATTGCAATTTTTAAGTTTTAAGTAGTTATTCAATAAAATGTATTTTATTTATTGATTAGATTCGTTTTTATTTGAAGACGTTTATTTTATGACCACAAATATTTTAGTTTTAAATTTTAGGGTTTGTTTGCCAATCAATTGGGTTATACCATCAATAATAAACAAATAATGTTGTATAATTTAATACATAAATAATGCAAAAAATAAAAACGAATTATAGTGTCAGTTTTGCACTTTTAAATTTTCATCTTCCACAAATAATCAATTTTATAAAATAATTGAATTTATTCTTAATACATACTTCACATTGGTGTATAGTCCAATTGAATGTAAATCTGCCTCACGCCAACCGAAGCAAAAATCATTTGGGTGTGCGAAACTACGTATTTTGGATCCACGTTCTTGGACACCTCCAATTTGATAGCCCCTATGTAAATATCACTACACAACGTCCAAAAGTGTGGCTCCTGCACGGAATACACCCCTGCTAAACTGACAACTTTCTGATAACATTGCGGAAGCACGTTATCCAAAGCATAAGGTTGCCTTTGCATCAATATCATAATGGAATCTTTGATAAGGGCCAGAACGCTGAGCGCGATTAGGATAGCTATGAACATAGAGCAGATGGGATCGGCGATCATCCAGCCGAAACTCTGCATCAAGATGGCGCTGATTATGACCCCCACGCTGCCCAGGGTGTCCGCAAGAATGTGCAAAAAGACCCCCTTCATGATTTGCGAGTTGGCGCCGCTCGCGTCGATTTCCATGGCGTGGTCGTGGGCGTGGCTGTTGTGCGAGTGGCCGTGGCCGCCGCCCCCGTGAGAATGCCCGTGCGACGAGCCGCCGCCGTGAGAGTGCCCGTGGCCGTGTTGGAAGGCGTATATTCCCACCAAATTTACCAGCAAACCAAGTACTGATACGATGAATAGTCTCTCATGTTTTACCTAAAATAAGGCGTGAATAAATGTTTTTTTCTACTCCTACTGCATATTATTGACATTTATTTTTAAGTTTATAATGGTAACCGTTATAACCGCCGGTTTTAAATTGAGGTTGAAACTGACTAAAGTCCATGTCTGACGGTGCAACTTCTCGCGGCGACTTTGTTGCAGCGACTAGGTCGCCGCGATTTTTTGGTGGTCACACGATGCAACTAATCAGCTGATCTAATATGTCCTAAAATAGAACATGTTCCATTTTCATGCAATAAAATCGCCGCGACTTTGTAACTTTTTTAGGGATTTACGAATTTTCACTAAATTTTTTGGTTGGTACTCAATATTTATCAGCTGTGGAATGACAGATGTGGTTTGCGTGTGCTTTAATCTGAGTGTTTTTAATAAAAAAACTTTTTATTTATTTACAAATTGTGATAATGAACCAAATAGGCTCTCAGGATTTACGTGGGATAGGGAATCCACTAAAATATTGATTCTAGGTTACGAGACAAACCCGAATCTGTACCTCAAAAATGATCCGGGTTATAAATTAAAAAATAAATAGGTATATATTTTTACACCACAATATACTTATAACTTTAAAAGAAAAACAAAACCGATTTAAATAAACATTAAATTTGTTTGTAGGTATTTTTATTTTTCAACTAAGTAATTTGCGGTTTTGTTGGCAATCCTAGTAGAAAATAACGTCAGTTTGGTTCATAGATAACAAAGCCTTTGGTTTGGTTGCACCGTGTGAACACCCTAGAGGAGAGAAAGTCGCTACAACTAGTCGCCGCAACAAAGTCGCCGCGAGAAATTGCACCGTCAGACATGGACTTAACAGATATCAGATTTTTTTATATATACAATTAGCGACTATAATAATCATTCAAATCGAGAAAAAGTGAGGTTTTTTTAAATTTTGAATTAATAAAAATTGCTTAATTAAAGTAAAAAAAGCAAAGCATTACACTCGAGATAATGCGCAATATTCACTCGGATGATTTACGTCATTCAAACCTCATGAGGATTCAATCTCGTTATTACCTGCATTATCTCTCGTATGTACATATATACTAGAGCTGGGAATCGATTACGAATAATTCGAATAGAGGTGGAAATCGATTATAAATTATTCGAATACACAAATATTTTTTTTAAATTTCATTAAGGTGCGTCGACTGCTTCTGTCATTGGCACCTACAATATACTCTAATATTAAAACACTTTAAATCAGTATATGTAAGGGTTGCGCAAAAAAACGTGTTTTTGAGTGATGTAAACCCATTTGTTTATTTATTAAATATTTAAGTATATAATCCTAACAAAACTTAAACATGAGATACTACATAATTTTTCTAATGATTAAATAGTTTCGATTATTTAAAATATTTTAATATTCGATTATTTAAAAGTTCGATTATTTGAATATTCAAATAAGTATTCGAATTTTTAAAACAAAAAAATTTCCAGCCTTATACTATTATAATTAAAAAAAAACATTTTAGGTTTTATATAGCAAATAAAATTGTATCGGTCGGACTACCTAGAGATTTAACGGTTCGAAAACAAAATTGTAAATTTTTTGTATATTGAAAAATTATCGAATCAAAAACCGAAAACCTGAATATATATTTGTATAAAGTAATATATATTAATATATGAATTCATATACAGGGTGTCCCAGAACTCGCGCCACAGAGAAAAAGGGGGCGAGCCGATAGCAATGGAGATGCCAAATTTAAAAATAAAAAATTTCTAGGTAATAGTGTAATCGAATGAGAGCAAAAAAGCGGCAGCCAATACCGAAAGCTCTCGCCTAGGTTAAACGTAAGAGCTTTAAAAATTGCTAGGAGACGATAGAACATTGTTGTATTAAAAACATTTAAAAATCTTTTGGCCAACTGTATTTACTAAGTTGTCAAAAGCTTTCAAAAATGAGGTTATTAATCTATGACTTATACTTCAGAACGCAAATGTTTTAAAATAACGATTAGGAAAGGGCTGGGAAAAAACTCGCGTTGTCTCCCTGGCGTTGCACCCACACTAAATAAATAAATAATTATCATTTCAGTATAATCATCTAAGGAAAACATTATTTAACTTAATTTATAACCTAATATAATATTAATGACAGGAGTTTGACAGCAGTGTCACAATAAATTGGATTCCAGTGGACCAAATATTTTACATATTTTTTATTATCAACAATGCAACCTAAGTATCCTAGCAATTTAAAGAATTCCCTATGGCCATCTATTGGGATTGGCTATCGTTTTTTATTCTTATCTCGCTTATCCTTTGCGTTAGACAATTTTACTTTTCAAATATGTGTTTCACGTTACTTTCGGCACGTTCCGGTTTTCTATGTGGCGCGAGTTCTGGGACACCCTGTATAAGAATAAGAATTATACAAATACATTTTTGCAGTATTTAAATAAAAACTATCCAAATTGATTTTTTTCGGGGATTTACCGAAACGCGGAGGAAATTTGCTGGTGAATTACATTAAATGTGGTAATACCGCGCCAATTCGTCAGTGTGGTAAAATGCATTTATTCAACACCCATTTCGAGGCCTTCACGACAGTATATCGTAACTAGGGTTACCACCTCAGCCGAACGCATATTCGGAATTCGCCGACACATTAGACGTTCGGGTGACGGTGACGTTTGGGAATCGCAGACGAAGTCCCGACGAATTGGACTTATGTGTCGGCAAAGGTTTAGATGAAAGAACAGCTGTTTATTGTGCTGTACCAAGTCCAAATAAACAAGCTGAATCTCGCCTTTCATAAATAATAATACTTACTGCCAATTATTTATCTCTATTTTTTATTATTACATAGTACGACAAAATTTGATTTTTTCCCTTCCATGAAAAATTCCTATAGATTTTGAAAATAGACTTAAAAAAATGATACCCGTGTCTCGGCGTCTTTTCAGATCACGTCATTTTTTTTCGGCAAATATAACAGCTTCAACAACAGCTAGACTCTATATTTCTAAGAAAAGTTTATTTACTGAATAAATGGACACGAATTAATGTTATTTATTTATTTTAAATTTATTTTAATTATATACAGGGTGTTGCACATTTACGAAAAACGGGTATTTCACGTTCGTGGTTCATTGAAAGTTTCTGAGGAACGGCAAAAGATATCGATTTGAAATTTTTAAAGAGTTTAAATCCAAATAAGCCTATTTTTGTAAAATATTTTAAACAAAATGCCACTTCCGGTTTGACCGGAAGTGACATCGACTTTGTTATTTCAAATTAAACACCCCATATATATTCTATAAAACGTTCTCGAGTAAAATTACTGTACCATGTCCTATCCCTAATGTGAATAGTTTTTGAGTTATTAATTTGTTTCGTTAAAATTTGACAAATGCGCGTCAATCAGAAATGGCCTATAACTTTTTGCTATTAGGTTTGCGGAAATAAGGGTAGAATTTTTGGAATCTCAAAACATTGTTTAAAAGATTCCATATCAACTCTTTAGCATTTTTTTAACAAATTACCCAAGAAAACCCAGGCAAATTAGGCTAACTTGAAACGTTAATAACTTTTTTATTTTCATTGAAACACCCTGTATGTTTTTACATAATCAAATAAAAAATTAAAAAACATTTCGATTGGAACATTTAATTGTTACAGTTACGCATTCTTTTTGTTATTAAAATAATTCATAAAATAAATTTTATATTTTATTGTCTAGTGCTTAATCTAAACTGCGCACCACTCAATGTGTCGCGACCAAAAAGTTCGTTTTTTTTTAAAACGACATAACTTTTTTGTTTCTTGAACTATTTTATTTTGGTCTGTGTTGCCTGCTAGCCTCATCCTTTGGCAATTCATGCTATAGATATGAAGCTCACGGTTCTTCAAATAAATTTCCTACAGGGTGATATGTTAAACGGTGAAAAATTTAATCCAAGCCCCGTTTGTAACAAAATAATTTTTTCCTCGTTTTTACTTTAAAATAATGAAGTATTATGTCTTACCTGGTAGCGTTTTTCAAATTTTTCGAATTGGAATCTTAGCAACAAAAATATGATTTTTTTCAAAAGAGTACATTTAAGGCAATACACTCAGTCTTAGGAACAAGAAGATAATATGGTGAAATAATGTTCCTTAAATATTTCTGAACAAGCGACAAGCAACAAACTTCCATTATTTTCAGAGGGCCTAAGCAAAGACCACTTTTTCAAAATAACATTTTGGTGATAATTTGAGAAAACTAAACCCAAACAGATATTTACGTTCGTAACATGTTTCATTCATAATTTTGACCTAATTGTGATTCAGTTATCAAACAGATATTTACGTTCGTGACATGTTTCATTCATAATTTTGACCTAATTGTGATTCAGTTATCAAACTTAAGTTTCAGATAAAACCAAAATCACCAAGAATCAAGATTCGAAAACAATTCCCGGCTGTTAAATGTCTCAATAAAATACGATTGCTGGTTTTTACTATTTTTTTACTGTGTTTTGCATCTTTAGTACGATATTATCATGTCGCTAAATAATGAAATCGAGGATCAAATGAAAATTAGTTCTTGAAAAACATTTAAAACGCATTATGAGGGATATTCTTGATTTTTTCAGTTTGCTTGTGTTTTTTTGTTATACCTACATACCTACCCCAATCTTAGGGGCCGTTTATTAATTACGTGAGACAATTTTGGAGATTTTTCGACCCCCCCCCTCCCCTTGGTGAGATGTCGTGAGATTTTGCTCAAAACCCCTCCCCCCCTTAATCTCACGAGAGATTTTTTTAAATGCATAGTTTTAATGTAAATTAGTTAATCTGTGCTTGATTCCATTAGATTTATTAAAAAAAAACAATGCTTATAATTTTTTTTTATATTTAAGATTTGTTGTATTTAAGATTTCTAATATTATTAGTTAAACGTAGCATACACGGTGAGAAATGTCCATTAAATTTTACTCACTGGACTATATGAAACTGTCTTCAAAATTTACAACTGTCCTGTAGTGCGTAATTGTACATATTTATCAACAGTTTATATTTAATAAATGAATGAATTGTTTCCAAATAAATGAATTTAATAATAGTTAATAAATTTTTCTATCACTGCATAATTAAACAGATTAATATTATTATGTATGATTTAATCCTATTTTTATGGATACATATTTTTTACTTAATTTAACCCAGTTTTCTCGCAATTTTACACTCTTTCTTTCGGAAAAAAAAATTACGTGATATTTGCCGAGAAAGGGGGGATATGGGTGATTCTCAAATAGTTTTAACATCTTGGTCCCTGAGACTTTTTATGGACTTTTAACGTTAAAAAAACTGCGTTTTTTTACAAGATCGTTTGTACTACTTCGTTTTCAAAAAAAACTAACGTTACATTCGCAAAATACTGTTTAGAATTTGCAAAATATCTATTTATCTTACCGTTTTCTCATGACCGTCTTAAGTCCCGATCGAAAAATCTAACTAGTTCGGACCATTTTTAATTATATTTTCAAGGTCTAAATGAAATACTTTTTGTTTGTAAATTTTAAAAACATATTCACCTAATAATTGTAAAGTATCAAACAGTAAAACAATTATTACAAACTAATCCAATATAAGAAGAACCATTGTCCCGATATTCAATTCTCATTACCGTACACCGCAAATTTAATAGCCTATTTTGTCCGATAGGTGGCTGGATCACCAGTTCCCTTCATCATAGCATGTTTAAAAGTTTGTTTGAGTTTCGTGCAATAAATTTGTGAATAGCAACAAGGTGAGTACTTTATTGTTTTATTTAAAAGTGTAGTATTCAAGTACTTCTGTCATCATAGAGTTCAATACCGTCCATAGGGTTTAGTTTTGATGTGTAGTAATTTAAAACAAAATTTAAGTCAAAATTCAATGACATAACCTCAAACATCTTTAAAAACGAGCGTACACGCTTTAACCGGGAGCTGTTGCCTCATAGAAAAATATTTATCAAGCGATTTCTCATTACCGTCTATATCATTACCGTCTACTTTTTAGAGGAGGACGGTGCTGATAAAGGGTAGACGGGTTTGATATACAAAAAGACGGTAATGAGAAACTTATGAAATACATATAGATCTACGATCCGTAGATATGTTACATATCTACGGACCGTAGACTACGGTAATAACTCACAGTTAAAAAGCAGATAGTTTTAATTTAATTTCAGAGTTAATATGAATGAAGACAACGTTTCTGATAAATGGAAATTAAACGTCTTACCAAAGCTAAAAAGAATGAAAGAAGAAGCATATGAGAATCGACTGAAAATGAAGGAAACAAAGAAGTTAGAGTCAAAACAAAAAAGAAAAAAGAACGCCATTGAACTTAAAAGCTCGTCTGTTATCAAAATTAGACTTAAAGAAAACAAAAATAAAAAAAAATGTGTGATAACTAAAGTCGATGAAAAATCATCAGATACAAAAAATACAAATGAAGCTACTAACAACAAGAAAGGCGAAGAAAAGAAAAAAAAGAAGGCTAACAAAAGAGGTCAAAACATGACACAAGCTATGATTGATGCACAAAGACAGAAGTGGAAAGAAAAAAAGAGGAAATACAGAGAACGCGTTGCTGCTGATCTAGAAAGGTCAGAGAAGGCTAAGTCGTATGAACGTGAACGAAATAAAAAAAGAAAAGAAAAAGGACAGCTAAAAAATATAGGTGATATGGAAAATCGTGAAAAAAACAAGCAGAGGAAAAAATGGAGGGAGGCATCAAATAGATATTATCAAAAAAAGAAATTAAGTGGGAGAACAGAGAAATTTATCAACGACAATACTCCACCATCTTCTCCCTTATCGTTAGAAGAAAACATTAATTACAGAATTGTTGAAATTTCTTCAAGAAGACAGCAAGCAGGAAGGAGAAGACAAAAGCAAAACACTGAAAGAAAGCGACAAGAAGTATTGGCTTTGAAAAAAAAACTATATTTGACTAATATGAAGATGGAAAAATGGAAAAGAAAGTATCACCGAGTTGTTAACACTAGAAAGACTAGTCCCTCTTCTAGAAAAGAAGTCGATAACTTAATTAAACAAGGAGATACCGAGAATTTATCTTAAGTTTTTTTATACGAGTTATAATAAATATATTTGTTTCTACAGAATCCCATTATTCTGTGTTTTTATTATACCCAAGTTTATGACTCACACTATACTTTATTCCGTTTTGTTTTTAAATCATCATTCTTGTTTACACATCTCAGTTTTTCAGTACCATCTAATTTGTATCCACCTAATATCATCACCGTCCACCCGATATCATCACCGTCCTTTCATTCAAAATATAAAAAAAATATAAGAGTGCATTTAAAAATCTCACCTTTTTTGGCTTAAAGTATAGTTTAAGAACCCTTACGTACCAATATATATATAATATAATTAAATATTGCATTTTCCACTTGTATTAAACTAACACAAGCAGTAATTTTTTATTTATTTCAAATGGGTTTACGAAAAATCGATGAAATTGCATTTTAAAGTACTTTGTGCCTTAAATTTTTTTCGGAAACAAAAACATATCTTCTATAATAAGTACCTACCTGAGATTTTATCTGTTATTTTTTTTAATATTTATTTTAACCTTATTAAGGAATGAGGACGGTAATGAAAAAATGTGTTACGCCAAATTAAAAAACAGAAATAATGTTTAACTAACATTAACCTGAGCCTGCCGGAGTTTAATTTCGACATGTTCAATATCAAAGAATTTGCTTTCTTGTATTTTTTCACCAAAATTCTTCAATTTTTTTTTTCAAACTTGCTAGCTGGAATATTAAAACTATTTGAGAATCACCCATATCCTCTACCTATACATTATAATACAATAGTAAAACAATATAATATAATACTCATACAATCACATACACAATATAAAAGATCACAAATATTTTATCACATTGTTAATGTTTAGAGTAATGATTTCAAAGTAACAAAACTGGACAGTAAATTAAATATACCCTAAATGCCTTTTTAGTAATGTGTTAAAACCATATCCCCGACGGTGTTTTATTTCGTCCGGGAGAAGGTTGTAACTCTTTACGCCCTTATAAAGAACCGATTCCATGCCATACCGGGATCTGCACTGAGGCATGTCTATCTTTCCCCTGTTTCTAGTATTAGTATAACGAATGGTAAAGTTAATATGTGAATGACGTTTTTTTGTAATTACCTGATGTATAAAGGAGTTTACTTGATATCTGTAAATATTGTTTAATGACATAATTTTAAAATTATTATATAACTCATTTGCTGGGTGTCGAGCATCCAAGGAATATAAGTTTTTTATAGCCTTATTTTGTAAGGTTTTTATAATTTTTATATTCCTTTTGGAAGTCGATGACCAGATTATATTTAGATATTGTAAATGAGAATGGATTAGGGAAAAATAGACAGGCCTCAGGTACTCACTAGGCACAGCATAGCTCAGTCTTTTCAAAATGCCCACAGGACCCAACAATTTTTTTCTAATGTGACTTATGTGGTTTAACCATAAAAGTTTTTCGTCTATAATTAATCCTAAAAATGTTATTTCATTTGTTATATTTAATAGTTTTCCGTGAACGCGATTGGTCTGCTGTCATAGATTATATTATTTGATCGTTTGATCCAAATAAAAGAAGACTTACTGACATTTAAAGTAAGTTTGTGTGTGTTTAGCCAGTTTGCAATCAAATTCATATCATGGGCAATCTTCTAATATTGTCGACTGAGGAATCAAAGTAAGTAAGTATGAGGTGTCGTCCGCGTATAACATTATACGTCCGTATAAATTTAAACTTGACATTGAATTTATGTAAGTCAAAAAGATTGTAGTACCAAGTATGGAGCCCTGAGGGACTCCATAAGTGATCTTTGCCATACTACTTTTTGTATTCCTCAATTGAACAATTAACAAATGTAACTTATGTAACATTATCCTAACCACTCAAACAAATTGCAGTAATTTCGCCCAAAAAATTAATTCCCATATGGCATTTTAATCATAAATATGCAAGAAACAGGCGGGAATTGTTTTCGAATTTTGATTCTTGGTGATTTTGGTTTTATCTGAAACTTAAATTTGATAGCTGAATCACAATCAGGAGGTCAAAATTATAAAGAGAACATGTCACGAACGTAAATATCGGATCAGGTTTAGTTTTCGCAAATTTTCACCAAAATGTCATTTTGAAAAAGTGGTCTTTGCTTAGGCCCCTCTGAAAATAATGGAAGTTTGTTGCTTGTCGCTTGTTCAGAATTATTCAAGGAACAATCTTCCACCATTTTATCTTCTTGTTCTTAAAAAGACTGAGTGTATTGCCTACAAAAAACCCTTAAATGTACTCTTCTGGAAAAAAAATCATATTTTCGTTGCTAAGATTCCAATTCGAAAAATTTGAAAACCTTTTCAAGGTAAGACAATACTTCATTATTTCAAAGTAAAAACGAGAACAAATATTTTTTTTTCAAACAAGGCTTGGATGAAGTTATTGAAATTTTTCACCGTTTTACATATTACCCTGTACGAAATTTTCTTGAAGAACCGTGAGCTTCATATCTATAGCATGAATTGCCAGAGGATGGGGCTAGTAGACATTACAGACCAAAATAAAATCGTTTAAGAAACAAAAAAGTTATTTCGTTTTGAAAAAGGACGAACTTTTTGGTCGCGACACATTGAGTGGTGCGCAGTTTAGTTAACATTCTACATAAAGCTTGGATGATTTTTTTTCAAAATCAGCAAATACTGTTTGTAGGTATAACTTTTAAATTTTAAAAACGTTTGGTGTTTTGTTTACAAAACACTTAACTAGTCAACATATTTTTATAACAACCTGAAAATTTTATGCCATTAAATTTTGAAAAATTACGTGGTAAGCACAGAACCGTCAACTCACCCGTCACAGGTTTCTTGATACAAAATAATATTTAAAATTTTAGAAATTGTTAAATATCTCTGAAATTATTGACTTTAGGCATGTGGAATAGTTAAATTAATCGAAATTAATTTGCTATTTGATTAGGTAAAAACTAGGGATGCACCGGATTTGATTTTGGCCGGATTACCGGATGCAGTAATCCGGCGTCATCGTCCGGATTAACTCCGGCCGGATTTTGGCGGATTTAGCCGGAGTCGGCCGGATCTTAGTGTTTTTACACAGGCAGGTGCAGTTTCTGTTTCAGTATTATGCAAATCTTGCACTTAGTTACCAATTACGTGTTGATGTGGTATGTGGGGATCCTGTTCCCGAACAGGCAACCAACAATACATGTAAAGTAAATTAACATTTGTCTTTTTTTTTTTTGGTTTTTATTGACTTTTAATCTTTTCAATTATTTAGCCAGCTCATGATTATAAATTTTTTGGTTCTTAAAAACAACCACAACACCCAAGGCTGTGACCGGGAATCGAACCCGGTACCGTGGCGCAGATTGATTACCGCTCTGTAGCTTTAACGCACTGCGCCATCCTCGGCCCCCCCATTTGTTTTTTAAAACAAGGAGAAAAATTGACAGACCTTTCATTTTACGCATGCATTCTAGTCGTATTAAAAATAAATAAAAGTGTGGTATACTTAAATTATACACGGATTTACTTATATAACTTAGTCCACTTTATTCATGTATTCAGTAACAGTAAAAAACAGTCGCCACAAAAGTGTTTATATTTTAGGTACCTGCCCACCTTATAAGTAGGTAATCATTATTAGGTGGCGCATTGTCTTTTTTATTTTTACACCAGGTTTTTTTCATGTACCTACTTGTTATTTTGGCGCGTTAAAACTGATATAATATGTATATATATATTCATATTATATTAGTTAAAAAGTAATATAATTATACATATATATACGTATTATATACGTATACGTATTGCTATGTTTGTAACATCGGCTGTTCTGGTTTTGGCTTCGCCTCGACCGCAAACAGCTACGATTCGTCCTTAAAAACATGATTTTTAGGTACATGTTGCAAACAACATTTTTTTTGTTCTAGGTCCATATATTCATATTTTTAAATAGAGTAAATACCTATTTCTCGAAATTAAGTTGCAAAAATTTCCATACCAATTTTTTCGTACTAGTGCAAAAAAAGAATTATTTACGGACTCAAATGAGTTCGTTAAATAGCTATTTTAGGGGAAAAAACAAAAACATTTATATTTATCAATAAATAAAAGTTTTTAAAACCAATAATATATTAAAAAGTATATCTTTATAAAACGTTATTAATATACCTAATCTAAAAGTTATAACAATTAAAAAACATAGGTACAATAATTATAATAGGTATAATACAACCATCTGAAAACCACTGCGCATACGTACGGCGTCTGTTACTTAGTGCGCATAGATACCTGTTAACTGCGCATAGCCGATTTCTTCCCGAGAAAGGTGAACAACTCTAATTTTTGCACTGTAACTTAAAGACTTCGTTATCTTATGTTCGCTTAAATCATGAAGTTTAATCCTTAATCTATTTTTAAATTATTTCTAAAAAAATTGTTTGTTACTTGTAAAAGAATATATATTTTTTTTATAATAAACATTTGAAAAAATATTTTATTTTTAATTTAAAAAATCCGGCCACAATCCGGCCGTTGTTGCCGGATCAGTTTAAAAATTTGGCCGGAGCCGGATATGCTGCCGCATAGGCCGGATCGGCCGGAGGCAGTAGGTGAGCAGTAACTTCGGTGCATCCCTAGTAAAAACATACCAGGTGTTACATTTAAAATAAAAAAGTTTCAAGCTAGCCCAATTTGCCCTGGGTTTTCTCTGGTAATTTGTCGAAAAATGGTCAAGAATTGACATGAAATCTTTTAAGCAATGTTTTAACATTCCAAAAATTTCCAGTCAAACCGTGGAATTCTGAACAAAATATTAAAAAAATATATATACTTAAATGGATTATAAACGCTTTTAAATTTCACATCGACATCTATTTCCGTTCCCCAGAAACTTTCAATGGACCACGAATGTGAAACACCCTGTATATAAAGTGGTGATTATTAGGTTGTGATACCACTTTAGATTCTAAATCAATGTATAATCGTCAAACTAAAATATCAAGATTTGTTTCCA